GGAGTGCCTCACTAGGAAGTCTTTTTGGCCTTTTCCACTTATGTGGAGAACCATTTTTTCTACCGCATTCTATTCTTTCGGTCATTCCAATTCTCCAAATTCGAACGCTTTGACCCGATTAATGCGTCGCCTGGTACGTGGCTGCCCGAAGGCGCATTTCTTTCCATGCGTTCCCTTGTCTCCGCCCAACCTACCTGCTACCGTCCCCAGACTGTGGTTTTGGTAAGTTTGTTTCTCTTCCGGGATTGTATGAAAAAATTAAAAAATTAAATATAAAAGTCAATAGATGATTGCCTAAAATTATAAGAGCGCTCATCCGCAAGCCTTATTTCAATAATCGGGGCCAAAACGTATTTTAGTGGACCAAATGTAACTGCAACAACGAATTATTTTTCTTGCGTGAATTTCTTCGTTGTCTCCAGGGATCACAACTGAAGTGTTCATGTTGGGAAAGAATGCATGAAGTTCCCGTGAACGATTCCTTCAACTCTTGTTTGGGATAACGGGAAAAGAGAAGCTTCACAGCTAAATAGCCATGACAGCTGAAGCATGCAGGGCCAGGCAATATTCAGAGCAATTGAACGATATTTCAATATCCAATTAAAGGAGCTGCACCATGACTTTTCTATCCACTTAATACACAACTGAAATCGCTGTAACGTACCGAGTGGGTGATAAATCTACTAAGATCCCAGACAAGGCGTCGATCAAGGCACTTGCCATCTGGAAGGGCGATGAACGAAGCAAACGTCACTGCTTCGGTTTCAGTAAACAGTGATTCTCTGGCCACTGACTGGTCAACGACCTAAAATAAATCCAACTGTGCAGGAACATTAAATTGCATTTCAATAATGATGAAACACTAAACAAATACGATATGTAACACTTGTTGGTCTGAAGAAAGCAGAAGTTCACCTTCTGGCTGATTGAGATATTAAGGCAGCAACTATAGCAGTGAAATAACAAAAATATTCAAATTTCAACCAGCCTGAGGTAGGCCATGATATGGTGCTTGGAATAGGTTGTCCAGCTGTCAGCTGCCAAATAAACGAATCTCTGACAAGATTAAGCTGAACACGTCCAGAAAGGAGACTGTCACTCATATCAGCAGCATTAGTTCTGAAAAGTTTAGCTTACAAATGAGTTCAAAAAAATGCTCAACATTTCTCGATTAATTTCATCATTAAGAAAGTGATGTCAAGCAACTTATTTCACAACCATCCGGCACAGAGTAGCGGTTGAAAAGTTGGAATTTTTTGTTTCTAATCTAGCGCACCAATAACCAACCAAATTGCCTCATGTTCACAAATTATGCTCAAAATCAAGTTTGGAATACGATGAGCAATGTAGTTTTCCACATACCATAATTGAGAAGTATGATTTTTTTCAAGTTATGAAGGGTCAAAATTTTGTGGGGCAGGGAATCTGTTGTTTATTTGACTCGTTTCTCGGAAAAAAATTGAGAACTACTCCTATGGAAATGTTTCAAATCCACATGAATACATCTGAAAACTACGTGGCGTTTGCAAATGAAAAGTACAGTTAAAAGTTTTGTAGAACCTATAATTATGAGGGATGGAGGAAGGTTCAAAACATTTGACGCGTGCGCCATTTCTTGAAGAAATTCGCATTTTTAAGTATAAGCTATTTTGTTTGTAGCAAATCATATGTAGTAATTTATCTACACGTAATCTGGCCATAGTAATGCCAATTTGAAGTAACTCCGGCTGTCTGTCGGACGCAACGGTATAAAACAGGGCCATCCAGTTTTGTAGAGCTTCGTGTCAAACTCCGCCCACCTCGATGGAACACATCAATAGCATTTGACCTTCCTTGTTTCGACAACCTTTATCCACCTAATCTTGCGCCCTCTTTGAAACTAACTATAATGTTTCGTGGCGAACTTCGCCTACTTCCGCGCACGCCCCACCAACCAATACCAAATTATATATTGGGTTGCAAACCTCGCCTTTTTCTCCGTCTCCAGGACTTCTTGGAAGCGAATTATGAAGTATCGTGGCAAAAACGCCCGCCACTCCGGCGTGCGCTACGCCCGCCGAAGCAGGTGACCCTCCAGTCTCTGGCCGAGGTCTATTCCTTTTCCTCAGTTTCAGGTCTCGCTTGGACGGGTTATCGCCTCTAGTACGCAAAGTTCACAACTTTGATCACCCATGCCCACGAATTTATTTAGCCAAGCACCGCCTAAAAAACGCTCCACCCACCTTGGACATGTCTCCCCGATTTGGGCTTATCAACATAGTGCCCTCCTTTAACCATTGTTCCCCAGCCTTTGGGCTGTTCTATAACTAAACTTGAATATTTTGCCGTTGGCACCGCCCAATGCTGCGCGTGCCCCGACCACTGGAGGTAAGCAAACCAGCCCTTTTGGCGTTTCGGCTGGGACCGTATGCTGAATGTTGGGGAGGGGATGGGGTCCCCAACGGTCGACGGTTTACTTCAACTCGGTTGGTACGATAGGAGAGTACTGACGCAAGTGGTGCAGCTGGTCCAGCAGCTCCGCCAGAAGGGCTGGTTTGCTCACCCCAGGACTAAGCCTTGGAGAGGGGACGGACCCGTCCTCTCTTTAAGGCTTAGTTCTGAGGTAAGCACCAAATTGTGGCGGTTCTAAGGACCGAGTTGAAGTGGTCCGTCCACCGTCGGGGACTCCATCCCCTCCCCAACATTCAGCATACGGTCCCAGCCGAAGCGCCAAAAGGGCTGGTTTGCTTACGTCGCCACTGTGGGCAGAGCTCCGGCCCATCCATCCCAAACTTTATCCGGACTCTGTAGATACTTCTCCAGGTGGCACTGAATTTCGTGACTGATGGATCAAGAGACAGCACACAGACAGACAGACATAGTAGGGATAAATATTGGATACCACCAAACGTTCAGAAAGTGGATCAAGATAAAACAAGTCATTGAAGACAGAGATTACGATGAGTTACAGAGGAGTTTAGAGGCGACGTAGTGGTGCTCATGGTACGCCAGTGACAAAGGAGCAGACAAGAGAACGCAAGATGCGACCCTCCATCGGGATTCGTTTTTGGCTCAAAGTCACGACAGTTGACTCCGCCTCATAAACTTTCTTGTTGCACCCTTGAAGATTCACTGCTCCCTAAGAAAGTTCACGGAGCAAGTTTAGTGCCCACATTTGTAATCAGCGTTCAAGTTCTACGAAACACCTAGGTCCCCTTTGAAAGTTCCATGGGTAGTTCAAAATTTCCCTGGTTGGATGTTCGTTGAAAAATGCTGATATTTTCTAAGTAGGACATTTCACTAGCAAGAAAACTCACATTATGCTTCGTGTCTCTGATGTCGCATCTTCTCCTTCAGTCTGCGACTGAAAATTCAAGTTTGATTGGGTTATTTCTTCTGTGCCATACAGGTTGTTGTTTTCGAATATTGTGTTATTCCCTTTGTGCCGTAACATAGATAACACAATACTCAAAATGCCCCGGCTCAAAGAAGAGCGACCATGGAATTTGAGCTTTAGGTTTTGGATAGGACCTGCTACAGAGCAGACACAACCTCAGAAAGGTTTTGCTTCGCAATGCAGGATCGCAAATAATTCCGGGTACAGAATGACCTCTTTTAAAAAGCCAGGGAAAGCAAAAGAAAACTTGAATCTGCTCACCCCTTTACATTCTAATGTTACATCGGGCTCGAGTTCCAAGCTGCTGTAGCAGCGATCTTTGCAACCCTCCAAATTGCTGGCATTGGTTTCCGCAACACACTGTCTGACAAATATAAATAAAAAGGAGTTTAACAAGCAATATTTACAAAAAGAGAAGTTGAAGACGTACCTTAGAAAATTAAGGACATCATACTCATTGCCTGAAAAACTGGAATTGCATTGGAGAACCTAGAAGGGTGAAAAAACATTTTCTGGGGCGGTATTCAATCCTTCCCCTAGGGGTTGGGGGACGAAAAACCCTTTAAATTTTCTCTGTCTTCCCAACTGGGATTGTCCTGATAAAGGGCCTACATTTAATGTATGTATGTAT